CAGTAGGAGAGTGGCCCTTTTAACGGAGACACTTTGCACCTGTTGAAGGTACAGCCACTACTCGATCTTGCCAAACTTTCCCACTCAAAGTGGGATCTCCAACCTCTGGCAGTTAGAAAAACGCTGGCGAATTCCCTTCTAGCGCCCGATTTCGTTTCGTTGACATCTCGGAAATTGGTTTTCGATATGAGCCGCGATGTAGGTATCCCATTGTTCCTTGTGCATGCGACAGCTGCTCGAAAAACGCGTCTTGCATCGCTTATTGTTTTTTTTTCTTTTCCCTTTTTTGACATATGTACACTTTTCGCAACAGTACACTTTTGCGCGTTTAAAAAGTTTGATAAAAGCAACCTAAATTATAACCAGGAGAGTCGAAAAGAAATTCCGCGTTTAACTTAAATATTCATTCGTCATCGGAAAATACTCAAATTCAAAACACAAGAGTAAAATTGTAACGTTGTTGCAAATATTGAAATGATATTCAATATTTGTGTCAACGTTATTTGCTGTTGTCACAAACATCCGTTGCTGCATTCTTGCAAAATACGTTTACGTGATATTGCAACTATCTTGTGCGTTTCCATATGTATTCGAATCATCTAATTCCGTCATAATTGAAATTGGCGACGAAAATAAATTACCATGCATCTATGTTAATCGATAATTATTAAATTTTTTTATCTATAGAATTATTTCTCTCTCCCAATATCGATCCCACACATATACACATATATGTATATTCTAGCTATATACAGAATTTCGGTGAAATGCGGTATCTCTCTCACGGATATCCTGTACTTGTATTTTAACGCAATGCGAAATCATTAGAGGGGAACGCTTTGGAAAAGCGCGTGTTAACTACGGACCGCAACGCAGCGTCGTTCACGAGCAAAATTTTGAAGAAAATTAACGCGTTCCGCCCGAAGTTGCGTCGTCTACCGTGTCCAGGTGTACACGGGCCGTTGCGCGGAGCTTGCGAAAGCAGCCGGGGGCTAACTCTTCCGCAAGCTCGCTCGGGTCTACCTCGGGTCTACGAGCCGTGTCGGTGCTACCGCTCCGCGCCGTGCCGTGCCAGGGCGAAGTGCATTCGATGTTCGCAGTTCGCTGCCATGGCAACAATCCCCTACAAACAAAATGCATCGTGTGCACACGACATGGCACCGAAGGTATACCCACCCGCCGTGCGTTTAGTCGCCACGGAAGGAACCGTTGCCGGGGTGAAGAAATGCCACCGGACAGGACGAGACACGACTGTAAATTCCGAGCGTGGCGAGTGTCGGAGGGGACGGTAAGCCCCGTGTGCTTTGCGAGATAAATCGTTCGGCTAGCTCATGCACTCGCACGGCTGCCGGGAGTGTCGAAAGGGGACACCGGTGAGCACGCGATCGGCGCCGATGATTAACGGTCGATTAAAGATAAGCGCCGACTGTTCGTTTTGCTACGTCGACATGCCGGCGAGATGTTGTTACGTGGTTAACGCTTTCGCGATCGATACGGTCGATGCGTACATTGTTGAGTTTATCGATTAATTCGGAGAGCAATGAGTTTCTGTTTAAACATTATGATATTGTGATAATTAAATAATAATTAGTTAATATTACATATATTACGAGCTAATAATTACTAATTTCATGAAGACTGAGCCCCGTAATTTTATTTAGGTCAAAACTTACATAAATAGTGTTTAAGTAAAGATTGAAATATCATATGTATAGGTATTTGTTCGAGCAATTTGAATTTCGATTTTAAATGGCGCAAAGGAAACAAGATATTAGTTTTTTACTTTTGCAATAAACACGTGGTATTTCTATGCTTGCCAATCATCTATATATAATGAACGAGAAATAAAGCAAAAGAGTGTTTCGTAATCACGGACATTTGTCGCGCTAATCCAAAAGCGACGTAGCTAAACGACCGATAAAGAAATGATCTTTCTATCCTCTTAAACGTCACGGCGACGTTTTCGAATCCATACGGATTAGAAAATCCAATATAGAAAGGAGGAGCCACGAGGGCGTAGCGGAACCGCACGAGCAGGAGGGTGACCGAGGTCGCGCCGAAGGGAAATTGGTAGAAGAGAAGAGGAAAGGTCGGAGGAAGAGACGGGGGTTAGTGAAGAGTGAGGGGGAGAGGGGAGAGGGGGGAGGGAGAGAGAGAGAGAGAGAGGGTGAAGAGGGCATAACACAATTACATGTGGGGTTGATGCCGAGCTCGCTCTTCGTACGGTATGGCATAGCGGGATGAAGGTCGGGGACCGCGCGGAAGGTGCCCCAACGGTGGGTGGGAAGATTGAATATGAAAGTTTAATGCGAGCAATATCAGCGCCACTGCCCCGGCCCTCGGCTACTCACTCTCAGACGTCTCGACTATCAGGGTGCCCATCTTGGCTGTATCTCTCTTTATATCGCGTAGTATGCCGCCTACACCACCGGCGGCTTCGAACGGGAAAGAGGCAGAGATGATAGAGAGCACTTCGAATCTTTGATGTTCCGAGGTAACCCACAAGCCTCGAGTTTGTTCCACGCTCGCGCGTAAATTTCCGACCGATTTGAAAAACTGATTTGTCAATCCGCAGCTGCGCGCCGCTTTCGACAAGCGCGTCTATTTCGATGCAAACAACATTTAGAACGCGACGCGCAGCGCGAGAATGTAATTAGCACCTCGTTGGCTCTCCTCTACATCCAAATATTGGCTATTTTCAATGCGCGAGAAATAATAGAATAGAAGGAAGCCTGCGATATCGTCAATGACACATTCGATTTCCTCTAACAAACCTACAAATCGCTAAATATCATGATAGCTATATTTATTACACAACTTGAATTATCTTTACATTATCAATTGGCATAAGTTGTCACACATACTTCATTATCAATATATTAATCAATATCACGTAATCTTTTTCTTTTACAAAAATATTTTTATATTTCTCCCATCTTAATGAAAGAACTGGTATAAACGTATTGTAAAACAGTTAACAGTCTAGTTTTCTCTCTTTTGGTATAAAAAAGGATAATTATCAATTAAAAACTTACTTTTGTGTAAAGATACTCTGCTTGTGGATGGGATTCACGAGCTCGCTAAGGCGTTTAGTGACTATGCCTTCGGCTATTTGTAAAACTTTCCTCATTAATTACCGACAAGATTCGATTTCGTCCCCCTCCCTTCCTTACCAATCTCCTATCCCAACCTTTTCTCACTATGGTTTTACCCCTTTGTTCGCCACAGCGAAACCAAGTTTAATAGTGAATTAGAACGTGCGTTCCTGCAACCGGCAATTATCTGCCAATTAATAAACCAAACGCGATATCGTCAAGTCATATTTTTAATCACAAGTCGTATCGTTCTCTTACTTAAAAAGTAACATAAAAATTTAAGTTTCTTAGAAAGGGGAAAAATTATTTTTTGACAGAAAATTATTAAGTAATCAAATATCGACAAAAAGAATATATTCTTAACATGATTAAATGTCTTTTTCGTTTTACAACCACTCTTTTTAAATTGTGACAATTTTCAGTTGACTTTTAATGAAGTTAAGTTTACTTTTGATTGATAGGACAATGTTTATTTAATTTCATGAAAATAGCTAAAAAATCATGTTTTCTTAATTTTATTATTTTTAAGTAAGAGAGATACTATATTACACTGTTAGAATATTTCAGAAATGGTTGAGCTCTCGACCTATAATATTCACTAAGGCCTTTTCACTCAGTATGATGTAGGTATACTACATGGAGAGAATTTTTTCTTAGAGTTTATCCTGAAAATATGATAGTCGTGGGACAACATTGTATTTCGAAGAATTTTAATGTAAATCTCTCATTTATTAATAAAACTACAACAAAGTATAAAATAAGTTTGATTAATTTTACTGAAGTGCATGGTAAAAAAAGCTTTAAAATATTACATTATACTACAACTATCATATTTTCAAGGTAAATTTTAAAAGAAAATTCTCTCCGTGTATCCATCATATAAATGCTAAATGGTTTTTTTTTAATATCCTGTGTATACAGAATAAAAGATTTTACACTACAATAAAAAAAACTTGGGAATTTTAGTTTCAATAATCTCACTAAAAATAATTCTACATTTTATTATTGACAGAAGACTGACTGGAAGTACGCATGGGAATGTCATAGAAAAATTCCTCCTTCAGCTAACTATGTCGCCCCATTTTATCCTTTCAGCGTCACCTCAGCACATCTGCGAGTATATATCTCTTCGTCAAAGAAATAACTCCCGGTACCACCTTGTACATGTCAACGTGGTTAAAAATACAGCTGTACAGGTACGCACGCGGTCGCATGTTGCGCGAAGGTACACCGACACACCGGTATTTCTTACGGTAGAAAGTCCCCTCTGCCCGGATGCTTCTTATGTTCCGCTATCGCGCGCCGAATAATGCAAGCTCCCTCGGAACGACACTGCTTTAGTGACAAGCGCCTTTAAGAGTTTAGACATGCGTCAACTTAAGCAAATACAGATCAGAGCAACGACGCGCGACGAAGTGCTCGGATCTGACAGAGAGCTGGCGGAAATGTCGACTGGCGATAGAGGTGAAGTAAGATAGTTGGTAACATTCACAGCGGGAGACCTCTAAAACAGAATGATGGTTACGTCATGCAAGACTCCACTGCTCTCAAGATAGGCGAAGACACGATACACGTTTATATGTGGCATCATGTATGCTGCGGTGCGTCTGCGGTTGTCCGCAAGCGGCAAGATCGCAGATAACACGGAGTTTACATACCTATGAACAAGAACTTGTACAACACGAGAAAATTTTAACTCGTCGTGAATTCGGAACAAAGCTAACAAAAAGTTTTACAAGCTTCACTCGCGTTAGCGAATAATCTCTCTCTTTCTCTCTCTTTCTTTCTCATTCTGTTTATCTTCTTTTTAATTAATTTAAGAGGAGAACATATGCTTTGTTGAGAGATAGCAGATAGCTTAGCTGATAAAAGTGAATGTCATTAACGTGTGATTAATTTGTGCAGATGCGGGAGACAGATCGTACCGTACGGGATCCGACACGGAAGGCGCAGCAACTACAGACAACCCTACAACGCCATTTCCTACGCCACCCCCAACCTTGACACCGAATCATCGGCAAGCTTCTCCGTTTCCCCTCGAAAGCACAAACTCTCGCCGGCATCATTATAACGGCAGCATATCTTCCGAGAGATCTCGCAACGGCAATGGTAGGGAGTTAATTAGAACCGCAAACGGGTTGGTGTGCACGCAAGATGATACTTACGGGTTCGCCACAAGATGAATCTCATCAAACGCAATTTTATACTACGTTGTACGGTTGTACAACCGTGATGCGTGCGAGACGAGCTCATTCCGGTAGATGGATGCAAGATGAGAAATCCCGGTAGATGGACAATTTGAAGTGATAAGCAACGTGACATTACGTAAAACAGTTTCAATTCCCGGTTTCAACTCATTTTAAAATGACACTTTGCACTTCAATCTTTCCGGATTCTTTACACCTCTAGTTACCTCATGCGTACTAAACGTTACGCATGTTTTATGTCAAAGATCGTAACATTAAATTAAAATAATTCCAAGGCGCGCACGCTGTGCAAAAGTTATTTGATGGTAGTTAAAAGTTAGCTTACGTGAAAAATTTAATCTTGATAATTTCACTTTTTTAAACATAATTTCGAAAGGATTAGAGAACTCGAGTACCTTCTTTGTCCACGTAATAATGGAAGATTGAATTAAGCGGTATGACTCTCGTTCGTTAGCGATACCGGCGTTTTCCAAAGGAAAGAACTTCTTAGCAGGCTGTTCAAAAATATTCGTATCTTCTTTATTGCAGGTGAGACCGTTTACGCGGCGTCCACAAAAAAGACGACTTCCGGTGGCGGTACCTTAGGTCGAAGAACACGCCGAGGTCACGCAAGCGCCTTGAGCAGTAGCTCGACAGCGAGCGATCGTTCCGAAACCGTCTTCCCCGATGAACACACTCGCATGCATCTCACCAATGGTGAGAAAAAATATACTGCGGTTTCCTTTTCTCATATTACGCATACGTCATCGCGCGATTATTATTTCATACGCATGATCACTGCACCACATCGCATGCTATCGCGTTCCATCTTAAGATTAATTATTGTAATCGTTAAATCGTAAGGAGTGTACAAAGAATAAATTTCTATTAGAGACTTCAACAAAGAAACTCCTCATTCAGCTTGACAGATCGGGATGAATCCTCTTCGATCGCCCTGAGCGGATCGACCCTTTAAATCACGACGTAAAATTTGCCGCGGTGCGATAAGTTAACGATCCATGCCTCAAATGCGATTACCGGACTAACCGAGTTACCGGCTGGGATCGAGCCCCTGGCCGGAGTTAAATCGGGTTTCGCGTAAACGTGTTCCTCGTTAAAAGCTTAATATTAATAGTCACCTAGAAACGCGCGAAAAAGGAAATTACATATGAAACTCAACGTATTCAGAACTCTGTAGAGAGCCTACGAATGCATTCTTATGTTTTCTAAAAAGTCTTTCATGTATTTTGTATAAGTAAGTGTATTAGTTATCAATTATTCGAGATTATTGATGGAGACAAAGAAAGAATTACAATAAAATACTTTCAGCCTTGATTTAAATCCTTCATAAAACATATTTCCTACTGATAATTAAGACTTTCTAATTCAGTAATAAATAATAACTTCAGACATAAGAATGTAATATGTAAAAAGCACATTATCTTTCTTGTTAATTTCGTTCTAAAGCAATGTACTGCATAGTAATTTCAACTAAACAAATATCCTCATTACGAGCATCTCTCGTCTCGCGTTTTCCATCGATGCACGATTACGAAGCTTCGCAAAACGGTCAAAGGCGAAAGATCTTAGCAAAGGCAAACATTTCCGAGTCATGCGTTATCGTCTAGCGAACAATGCTGTAATCGACAAACTACATTACACGTCGGCTCATTAAATAACCAAGGGACCTTCTATTTTGGCAGTTAGGTTCATTGTTGTCTGATGTAGTAATATACCAGCGGCAACACCAACAGTGTCGGTAGCTGCAATGGCAGCAGCAATAGCAAGTGCGAGGCCCCGGGCTAACACAGTTAGCAGTTGGCGCCTGGGCTCGGCTAGTTAGAGCATAGACCACCGCCAAAGTTAGCGTGACCCCACCGACTATATTGTTTCAAAACGTCAACAGTATTTAGATCTCCTGTCGTTGCTAGGACCGCGTGCTATCTTGGCACACGCACTATCTCACTGTGTGTAACGCAGCTTCGAGCAGCAACCGAGAGATAAGAGAAAGTAGCTTTGCGGCTTTGAACCGGCGGCCGCGGTCGACGAGCGGCTTACGCTCGTCGGCTAAGTTTTAAACGAAATTTCGTCGGATCTCATTTCGTGTCGACGCGACGTCGATGTGGCGGTCACGTCGAGTTCGAGGGAAGCTGGCTGCCAATTAGTCTACCGATATCGCGAGACAGCGTGAGCGTGGATGAAAGGACGAAGGATAGCTGGATGGAAAAGCTGGTGAGCGCCCATGCGGTAAAGAGCAAGAGCTCCACCGCATCTTCGTGGACGGTTACCTCCGGAATTTCGAAGGCCACATTACTCCTGCCCGCTCGAGTGCGATCACATTACGTGTAGGTATCGTGAAAATTAGTGACGCGAATTAAGCTCGTGATGCTCGTTCATTTACAACATGTATGAACGTGTGTTCAAGATATGTTCTATAAACGTGAATGCACTGAAAAAGGAATCTGGTAATAATTACCACATACAAATATTGAGTAATAAAAATAATTCCAATCAGTAACAAAAATAATTTTACTTTTATAAATATTTAGAAAAGTAAAATTATTTTTAGTTATATTAACCGAATATTTAACTGGAATCATTTCATTCAATATTTGATAGCTATTACCAGACTCTTTTTTCAGTGTGTATATTCTATACTACAAAGTAATAAAAGATTTAGCCATAAAATTTTGTGTTTATCATTATCCAGATTGATTTATTTAAAATATGAAATTTTCTGTTTTCTCTTTGTTTATTTTAAATTTAGGGATGTATGTCACTTTTAGTGTTCTCAAGCCATTACATTAGGAGAAAAAAATTTATTACAATTACCAAAATTTGACTACAATTTACAATCATTTTTGTCAACTCTATATTTTTGATAGAACTAATAATTATTATTATCACATTATAACAGCAATAACTATAATACAAATGGACTCCTAATCATAATCTTTTTATCGTACCAAGTATACACTTTTTTTCAGTGTAGTTATCGATAAACTTCCGCACAAAAATGTTTTGACGCATGACTTTATGCTGATGATGTGATGACAAGCGTTATATAAGATACTGCAAGATACCGCGTATAATTACCAGGATCTCGTAAGCAGTAATTTGAGTCTGAATCTGCGATGGGATATTGCTTGCCAGAATGTCCCTGCGGTCTAATGGAGGCATGTCGCGGCATCTATTAGCAAATGGCTCCCAACGGTCAGGGCTTACCCGCGTTAACCCCGTGTGCACCGCATCGCCAGAAAGACGATTGATATTACATTAGACCGCCGTAGTCTAATGTGGCCCAGTCGAGGAGCACGTTATTGAATTGGCAAACGCGTGAAACTCGATAACGTTACGGTAATTTGCTACTACAATGCTATGAAATGCACGCGCTAAATGAACGTATACTCGTCATTGTAAAATGAAAAATTAACACGTGATATATTTTACCGCACTGTAAGCATTAACTTTGTAACAAATCTATAAACAAATGAATATTGGAAACAAAATATATTTCGATTGTAGGTTCTTCTTGCAATTTAATACCGTGTATTATAAACTTTTGTTATTCTATAGGATTTTCAAACAATCATTAAATTTTTGTGAAAAATATACATTGTTTACATTTATACAGATAGATCAATTAGAAGAAATGTACAATTTTTGTGAAAATTAATAATTTTGCACAATATAAATGCGTAGAAGCAAATCACTGTCCGTGGAAAATAAATTTTCCGCGGGTTTTCGCAATCGTTCAACGATAGTCGGTAATTTTTGACGGGCTCTGATGCGGGTTGTTGCATTTAATGCCGTGGAACGAATCATGCGCACCAGCAAGTTTGATGTTATCAATTCGTTCGATTGATGTAGGTTTCGCGATATACATGTTGCATACGCGGACGAAATAAATATTCGCAAAATCAATTGACTTATACAGTCAAGTAAAAATTTCAAAAATAACCATGTTATATCGCAACAATATGCCGGTATTTTTAATAAACTATAATACGGTCGAGTAAGTTCTATCGTCTCTATGAGTAAATAACTTGTGTAAATTTTCGCTTTTTCATTGTAGTGTTTAATCAAGAACACTTGATTCGTCACTTCTAACTACAATCGAATACTTTTCGTGACAATGGCCATTCAGAACGTTATATATACGAATGTGTGTGCTCGGCTAAGTGCCAAGTTTCGACGAATAGGAATAATTTCAAGCACCACTTGCAAACTATGCCAATAGTTCGTGTTCGCCATTATCATTATCGTTCTTTTTATTCTTTTTAATCTATTTCCGATCTAGACAATCTATGGCAATAAAAATCTTTTATTACATTTAACTATTTACAACGGAATCTTTTTATCATTTGCAAAAGTAAAGGTCAATTTTTATGTTAAAAGAAAGCGCTCTCAGTGACAGTAAAAAGTATGCATGGAAATTAAAGTTACGAGACATTAGGTTTATAGATGACGTTATAACGGTCCTGTCTCACCACTTTACTACCATTACGTTAAGGTAAATAACTCAAATAGAATGTAATCAATGCGCAAGCTTAATTGTCATAAATTATCGTATAATGCTCAGGTTACGAGCAACGTAATATTTATGAACTTTCTCCTCCGTGAAAATTCATCGTAGCAAAGCTCCGTTTTATGGAACCTCATTCTATTCCAAATATATTTTTTCTTTTATTTTCTTAATATACTTCTTGTCTTATAATTGCTAGAATAAAATTTAAAGACTGTTTCACTCATCAAATATACAAATAAATTATTCGGCTCTATTATTTCGTTATACTTTGAAAAGATACAACAAAAAAAGCGTTATATCTCAATTTATCATTGGTATAAATAGATCTCGGCGAGGCACGGATGAAATTTTGTGTGCCCAATGCGAACGAAGGTAGAAGCGGCACATAGAAATTGTACGAGACAGTTCGGACGAAGCATTCACGAATGCTAACTCGGTTTATTAGACTGTTTGGTCCGGAAGGAGTCAAGCCGGAACGATTCGTTGGGCTGGTTATCGGACAGTAGGTACAGTACCTACCATCGCGGCAATACCGCGCCAGTATAGCGCTAGCAAATAATTCGTATTTACATGAACGTGTACTCCCCGACGCGGCGGAGGCGTTAGACCGACAAATCGAATTACAGACGCGAATCGCTAACCGCATCAAGTCACTGTCGGCTACCTTGCATCCCCTTGCACTGTCTGACTAACCCTTCTCGCCGTCCGCGGATGAGGGATAACTCGGTTGAACTCGGTATCGGTGATGCCCTGGCATACTACATAATTGGCTCACAACGATTGGCCAAGACATACCACCGGCGACGTTATATTGCTCAATAATGTGTCCAATTAGATGTCGTGCTAAACGCCAAATAGGTATATATAGGTATTCCACTAGCTTGTCACGTTTGTAATAATAGTCGAAAGCAGCACCCAATAAATTTCACTAAACTGTGTCAAGCAAGTTGATTGAAATATTAGAACGATATATTTAAAATAATTTAATTACCCTAATAATGTGATTTAATTTTTGTAAAAATATTATGGAAAAATTTAGAAATTATAATAAACTATTAGGTGTTGGAATTAATTCGTAGCGTTTTACAAGTGATGGGAAGTACTTTCATTAATGTATTTTTTAATGCTCATGTGAAATAAATAACATTCTTTCATTAAAAACGCTACGAATTAATTCCAATACCTAATATTTTTAGAAATAAACTTAATTGCAGCTTCCATATAAACGAAGCTGCTTAAGTTATGCGAATATAGAACTCAACAAATGAGCAAATTAATCTTCCTAAAAAAATAGTCTCTTTCATATTCGTAAAGGGAAGATTGAGTGAATTTTAATTTGAATGTAATATATTCTGCCATGGCGAAATAAGCCGCATTATGTAAATAGTGAAATCTATATTACGGAGTTATATCATGTTCATCATTTTGCAAAATTAGATTGCATTGCACCTATCGCCATCAGAAACTGCATGATTTATTTTGCACATTCTGTAAACGCTATCCTATGCTTTATGAGAGACAGTAACGCGGTTTGACCACTGGTCAATGATGTACCAGCATTAGCTATAATTGGCTGGAACCGTATTGATCTAACCTTCATGTAGCGTTATCGCCTATCCTTGCTGTGTATAATTAGTTATGCTGGTGAATTTGCATATATAGTGCAATAAGTCGTAGAATTCAATAGAATTTGTGCGAAAGTCAACAAATTTAACGATTCTTTACATTATATGTTACATTAGCAAGTAATTGATTTATCTGTATGTATGCGAAACGTATAAAAAAAGATGATGTCGAATATATCCATCAAATGGATAATAAAATTGTTTGTTACCAATCGCCGATATAATTGATCTACTGGAGATTCATCAAATTCCACTGCGCGCTCGCTGCGAGATATTTTTGCTTTTGGCAATTTAACCGTCGGATTAAATTTAACCGGTTTTAACTCTTCCACCCGCATTCTAGTAATTTAACGTTAATGTATCTATAACATATTTCGCAATTTCAGAAGAACTTTCTTCAAATATGTACTTTTCTCGAGCTTTAATTTGCTACTGCATACGCATGCAGAACGATGTAACCATTACGAAGACAGAATGTATCCTGTGACTCATAGTTTATCGTTATAAAATGTCTTGCAAAATAACACATTGTCAGATTCAAAGGAGGGGTCGGCCCTCTCTCTCTGTAGCGGCTCTGTAGCGACTCGGTACCAGCCCCGAGATTTTTCCAACCCCGTTGTCGGTGCAATATCGACTTTGTAATTGAGCGTTACAGGTGTTCCGAGCACTCGAACGATGCCGGCAAATTGTTCAATAACTGGAACAAATGTATATTTCGACGGTAAAGTTGTCCGAGATACGCGACGGACGCGGCTGGTGCTGACAGCTACGCATTGCGCATTTCACGGTCCGGTTTAATTAAGCGATTATTACTGCTTATTACGGAAAATATCGATGCTGCTCCCAGGTGACTTCGCAGAAATAATTTCTCTATCGCGTTTATAATTTCTACGATTAATTAGATGTCGATCCAGTCAAGCGATAACGGCAAAAATTGTCGAAAATTTGAAATAGCCTCAATGCAAAGCGTTGTCAGGAAGTGAAAGCGAATATTGCAGATATATCATTATCATTCACATGCATGACAATTGCATTAACCTTCGATGTCATCCGATTCAATCATACTTTAAAATGCATTTGTAATCTCGTTTTTCTCGTAAAATTATTAAATTAATCAGCATCTATACTTTGTTCTGTGTTCTATCTCGAGCTCTCACGTTGCATCGATTAATTAATGGAAATTTTTAAATCTGTCAATAAGAAATTAATATTATCTATCTATTTTTTTTTAATTAATTAATTATCCCACAATAATTTTAAGGAAATTATATATATAGAATTTTGATATACGGATATAAATCTGAAGAACTGTGATCGTTTATGACGCTCGACACTAGTTTTCGTGCAAATTTATTTTAAAGTAAATCTATCTATAATAATGTTTGAATTGATTCATCGTACATTTCATCTGCATGACGTAATTCTTGTTGGAATCGTCACATATGCACATGCCGATCCCGTCGCACTAATGCACTTTTCTCTCTGCACATTCCTGTCGCACAGGTCTACCCAGGCCTATTTATCTCACAGGTACGTAAGCAATCTGCAGGAAGACCAAATGTATAAATTTGATATCAATATATTATATGTACTCGCCTTTTTATCCATTATCATTAAAAACAATGCAAAAATTAATTGTGGGAAAACATCACATAAAAATTCCATTACTGTTTTATGATTTTTCAATAATTATCTTCTTGTATATTTTTAATGTTATTAATGTAGTCTGAAAATTGTAGTCTTTTTCTCATTAACTGTCAAACAGAGTTACTTATTATTAACTTGCTTGTCGATGCAAAGAATTGCGGTAACTAGAAGACGTTAAACTATTGTTTATTATGTGGCTCGAGTAATTGTCTTGACATTTACACACATCTATAAGTTGTAACGACTCGGTTAATAGATTTTAATCCGCAGGACTAGGGACCGAAATTCTATTAGCCCACATCCGAGTTACCACAACCAAGTTACGTAGCTTCACGAAAGCGCGATAGACCACTGTATTGCAGTTAAACTTGATTTACAATAATGTGCACTGTAACATTAACAACCTTTAATGGTTATACATTGCTCCAATTATGTATATATGCCCAACGTAGTATCGGTTTATAGCATCATCGTTGGCTGTTTCGGCTAATTCACCATAAATGGTATCTGTATAAGTATAATATAAAATGCTAGATTTGAAGAAGATACAAAATTTAGAACTAATAATAAACTTCTAATTGTGCTGAGTATTTAATTAACAGTGTTTTAATATTTCTCAATAGCAATTACATTGGCCTCTTCTAATATAAGAGATGAGCTTTTCGCGGGTAGACTCTCAAATATTTTTGTTGCCCTCGACATGCCTGGTAGGCGCTCTTTTATGCTCTTTATGTTTAGGTAACTTTAATTATTCTTTGGAGTTCCTTTCAAGTTTCAACAACTTTATAAGTAACTTAGCCACGGGAACGGTCGCGCAACGTTAAGCCCCGAAGGGCCAATGAAGTGAAGGGGTAGAAATGGAAAATTTTTAGTATTGTTTTATTGCAGCTCGCCACAATTACTTTATGTTTCAAACACAAAAATTTACGAAATTCTTAGAAAACAATAATATCCATTATATAGTATATTAACTATATATACGTATATAGTATGCATGGATTGCCTGAACAGGTACGCATGTGCAAAGCGAGACACGTAACACATTGTGTCGCTGTCGCAGCTTTTAAAGTGCATTTATGGATAATGATACTGGAATTGCAATATACGCCGTTAATATCTCAATTATGGTACTCAACTATTATTCAGTATTTCCTTGTATATTCCTTCGTCTATAATGGGTAATCAATTTCATCGTGTAATGGCAGATAGATTCTTTGAATTTGCATGCATAAAACGTTACGAGGAGATGCCTAATTATTGATGCCGCTTAATTGCTCGCGGCATTTCTATGGGAAGACTAGAATTTCATGAATGCCACGTAAGAGAGAACAATATCGCAATGGATGGAATTACACCGATACAATCATTCAATCAATAATTCACAAGATAAACACCGAATATTTTGAATTTATCGACGTTAAATGAATGTGTTATTTGAGAAATCAAAAAATTATTAAAATTATGAGATTAAATTTTCCGAAGATCAATAGTTACTTTCTATAATTCTTTTATACAGTAAATATTATCAAATAGTTTGATTTCTCATATAATCAATTTCAATTTCATCTGAAGCTGTTAATATCATATCATGCGCGTTTATACAATAAATGTTTCATATTGATGTTGTTTAGCATATTATTTAATAAATTTCGTTCATGTTTTATTAAAACGCGATTTGTGCTGTGAGAAACAATGTGCAATCTAATAGAAAAAAATATATTTTCGTTTTATAGATACTGGTAGGGATTCCCCTCCGGAACCCGCACCACCGGAAGTACCGCCACGTGGACCGTCTTTACACGCGACGCATACTTTACGCGCGCAACAAAATCGAAATGGTTGCCCACCGAATGCATCAGGAAGTTTCACTGTGCCAAGTGATCAAATACCGACCGAGACGTATTCGGGTAAGTAACAATTCAATCAACACTTTACATGCTTTAAGAATATTCATTCGGAAAAAAATTTAAACATATTATATAGATTGTCGATCTTATTAACAACGTGTACGCGCTTCTCTAAAAGATTTGTTTTTTAAACTCACGTGCATATTTATTCTTCTGTGAATTAGTATAAATGCATGAGTAAACATCGCTAGTACTCCATGAAAAGAGCAACATAATGACAATTGAATCCGAAACGTGATCCATTCCGCTTAAACCTATGGATTCTGTTATATGACGCGGTTCAGTTTTCACTGGCGAATGTTTAATTTGGTGCATACTCTAGCGCCAATTATGTAGATGTGCAGATGTGTACGCGATGGTATGGGGTATCTGTTTAAACTAATGGGGTGTAGATCAAGGGGGAGGTTTGCATTAAAGCACCCGTTAATTCATTGTAAATATACTCAGCGTATATTCGTTTCTCTATATTTCTATGTACATACCATTAGTATATTCCTGCGACTAAACATCGTTTGTACTGGCCGTGACGATACTGAATACTGAAGCGCGCATGTGCACGGGGGATTACATACACGTGCGATTAACGTACGATCGCATTCGATTCACGTATCACTGCGCTAAACACTTGTATAATAATAGAAACGCAACATATTAACAAGCGCAATTATTCGTGTGCGATGATAGTTAATGAGGTTGCTGGTATTATAACTTGCAACGTTTGATTATAGGTACGTATATTTTTTTTTTTGCTATAATTATTCTTATGCAAGCAACTCGTTAATATACGAAATTATACGATTTCTTAAAATTGGAAATTTTAGTGAACATATAATGATACGCATGTTTAATCTGCCAACACCAAAATTCTATCCGAAGTGTCACGGTACATGTTCTGAAGACTTTCTCGTGTTGAATTCGACACCGTTTAGCAGAATTTCCATAGCAAAGGATTTTGAGCAAATTGGGGTGAAATGAGCAAAAAAATGACATTTTTGACATTTTTAACATTTTTTTACGGCAAAACCAAAAACTCTAAATAAAGTCTAGGCCTTAGACTCTAGGGTATTTAAAAATAGGCATAATTTAAACTTTCAAATGAATTTTAGTTCATGATAGTACTTATTTTCAATTATACAAATTATGATTGTTAAACGTTAGATTTTCTGTATAATTACTGTTTAACAAAAATCATTTTACCCTTTGTGTCATAATACATATCCCAAATTTTTTCGCACTGAACACAATGCCATCGCATCGGTAGAATTTGCGTAGCATATTAGGATTTTTAATAAATTGGAGTATAATTGGAAATTAGGATGATACTGTACCATTTCAGCTCAATTTACTAAAAATTCCAATGTGCTACGCAAATTCTGATTATGGCTCGTGTTCAATGCGAAAAAATTTTCGGGGATACGTACTACGACACTTCAAAAAGAAAAAGTCACTTTTTTTGCACAGTGTAATGTAAGTCTAAAATAATCGTTTGAATACTGAAAGGTATTACGAATTTACCGTGAATAAAACGAAAAAGATATCGAAAATACGTAGATCCCTGGTCTTTTATGGAAATACAAACGAAACGCTATTCAAGGCACTTTATTTTCACGGGATCACTCGAATTTTACGAGAAGCATTTTGCTAGTATATCGAATGCTCACATGGCTCACTATGCTTACACGAGAATTTATTGTAATGCATTCTCGATAATCCGTACCGTTTTAACGGAGCGCAAAGTTTGACCGAACGCAAAGAATTGCGCGTGCTTTAGTTCACCCAGTGTGATTTAATATTGGTTTCGCGTCAATTACTAATTAATGCGAGCCACGTGCTGTTATAAACACAGAGTTCAATATGTAGACAAATCTTCGGATAGTACCGTGCTTTGTGTGAATATAATGTGATCCCACGATAAAATATGCTCACGCTATGGAGTATCGAATCTGTTATAGGGAAATTATTGAAAGTTACATCATTTCATACGCGCACACAATGAAATGGTATTTAGCACAAGTGTCATAGAAATCGTAAATACGCACGCAAATTAGCATGACGAATCCCATTGCATTCGTCAAGATGTATTGAAGCGCTAAAATTTTAGAAATGTCGAATGAAACAACGGTGAAAATTGAAAAGGAATACAAAACACAAACATATTTTTTCAAATAATATCATGCTCAAAGAAAATAACTAATTTAAATAGACATTGCGATATGTTTATAAAAATGACAATTCTTGCGAATAATAAAGTAGTTTCTATGTGGTGGCATATATTTTCTGTTACGTTATCATGTATTATTTTAAAACATTTACGTATTTTCTATTATGATTATGTAATGATGGTTTTAGTTTGCATCCTTTATTATACATACAAAATTTTTATTGTTTATTTATCGACGGCCTTATCAGCAAATCAATAATGTCATGCGTAGCTTCCTCGAAATATGCAAACGAATGACAGTTTGTCGCACACGTGCACATTTGCATTAAATGCAGTTAGATTTTATTACAGGTTTGATATTACGTATTAATTACAAATCATTGCATGTTTAATATTATCATTGCTTGTTTAATACGATACTTTTCATTAGTATCACAAGAGATATTATAAAGGATATGAAAACTCGATACATTTTATGTACAAATACAATATACAATCGAAATGATTTAAAACGCGTATATGAAAAATTATATAGATTCGATTTATTGAAAATATTTTGATAAATTGCTTTTACTCTCGACGTGAACGGATAATTTACAAGAAAAAATTCACGTTACCTCCGGGATTGTCTAGGGAGAGACCGATATTATTATCTGGGGTACTTAAGCTTCGCACATTTTTGCATAACTGGAAATTAGAAATAATTATTGTTGCACCTCCGGGAGCAGCGGTGTCGCGCAATAACGATGCGGTGCGCAGCAGATAACTCCCTCAATGCTTTTTTCGTGGGATATGCTCATCGAAATTCATGTGAATAAGTAATAGAGAATTACTCTGGGGAGATTTCTAATAATTTCGTCATATCAATGATTGCATTTATATTGAATAAAGATAACTATTTCATTCATCTTCCGTTATGTACTACATGAGAAATGTTCAAAATAATTTCGAAAATATTATAGGGATTCCCAAGAACATAACAATTCATATAAGAATTTACATTACAATAATAAGAGATAAGACTGACTTAGCACCAGGAATAACGTAGCTGCTTATGAAGTGAGTACAGCAAGAGAAAGTCATGTAATGAACAGATTGGAGATGCACACGGACTAAGTAAGTTACATACAGTTGGTTAATGACACTTCGTAACTTTGCTCTAAGTACAAGTGGCCACCCATAGTTCTGTAAAGTTTACGGAGCGTACGCGAACACTCACTTGGTTTCCCCGCACATCTCTTTCTCTCGTTAAGAGACATTTGCTAAGATAATTATGAATATAACTTCAAACGAAACTTGTTTGTCCAACGACTTTATGACAAAAAAGATGCCGCCGGGTGTACACTACATGGTACACTATGTATAGATCTTCCTATTAAAAGAACTACAATGATATACATTTTTAATTTGTAATGGCGCAATCTTTGTAGACACGAGTAAATATTAAGATTATATTACAAGAATAGAAATAATGGAAATACACGTAATAATGATCTGCTTTAATGATCAAGCTTCAAAATAAATGAGTTTATACTTAATAATTCACACGCACAATATCAAATTGAACATGAATTACATTTAAAATATCAAACTGAACATGAATTATATTGAAATATCAAACTGAACATAAATTATATTGAAACTAAACGTGAGGTCATTAGCTGCCACCGAAGGGGAGAGCATCATACACCGTTTTACCCCAGCTGATTTTCCAAAAGGCATCACTCCGCGATATGATGCTTCAAAGGAACCCCCTTTAATCGTTTCGAGTTCCAACAGGAATTTCTACCGCGCCTTCTCTGCTCCGAACTTTCCGCATCCTGTGAAGGATGAACTCGATCTACGAGCCGTTGTTTGCTCATGAGGGGGAGAAAAGCGCGGGCGAATGTTTGCCTTCTTCTGGGGTTCCTCGCTTCCTAATGTCTTGCCGAGATAGAGGCCGTAAAGTGGACGGAAATTTTATTAGTATAATCGTCGCATTAGCACCGAGGTCATTGCACACACGAGAGAAGTGAGTATTAAGGAAGGGGTGACGAGGGATGCAGAGGGTGTGGAAAATAGTGGGCGAGTCCCTGGGTCGGTTGGTTGACCGGAGACGATCGCAGATAGAGGCGCGACGAATGCGCGACGCTTTGTGCCCTCCTACTGGAATTGCTCCTATATTAATTACCGGCTCGCTAATTACTATTTATTAGAGACTGGCGCGCACGCCACGTAGAATCGAGTCGAGCCGCGCTATTATCGCTTCGCTTCGAACGAGCATCTACAACGCAGCATTTCATTCAGAGCAACTTCGTTACATTCTCGATTACATCTTGCATTCGCGCTGTAAGAATGTTGAAGCGATCCCGTAACTCCTTTCAAATATCTTTTAACCTTTTAAGAGGTTTCCAGTGGCACATATATGTATCAATATCTTTGAAAAGTCATGTTTTTGGTAAATATTAAGTTAATCAGTTGATTTAGGACTCATTTAAAAAAAAAGTTTAAACTTTAACTGAAAACTATTGTAATAAATACAATCATAAGATATAAAAAAATTATATACATAGTATAAGATCGGAAAGTTTTTGGACTAATTATGGAAGGTTTGGTATTATTTTCCCAAGACGATTATTTAAATATGACAATATAAATTTATAATAAAAATGCTAATGAAATTTATACTATAGGTACATAATAATAGGTACATGTATAAACGCGTGTGATTTTTAAATCATGATTTGATTTTTATATTTCAATAAAAAAATAACTGTTGATAAATAAATGTTGATTGATACTTATAAATGCGAGAAAGTTTCTTCTGAATTTTTCTATATGCCTTCTATCAATATACGTC